GCAGTTTTCAGGTGAGGCCAACCCAAAAAAAACACACCATATCACTAAGCACCAGCCAGACAAATGCACTGCTGCTAGCTGCTGGGGCCAACTGCATCCTCCCACGGCTAGTTTGGGCGCTGGCGACCTGACTTGCAGCAAACGTGCGTTTCTGAATCTCTCTGTATGCTGCGACCCCGGCCTGCCCACCGCGGACCAGAAGCAAACGCCCCTATCGGCGCACCATTGGCCGTCATCGCTTGGGCCTGATGCACTCGCACCATAAACTGCATGAAGCCAGTGGCGCGAAGAGCGTGGAAATTGCCGAATCCTCACATTGAGATGCTGACATCCCCAGAGTTGCGGGTCAGCAGGCCGGATCCTAGTGGTGCCTGCTCATCAATGCCAATGCATCACTGTGTCTAGAGTTGGGTGGGCCAATGAGCCGTGCGTAGGGATCAGGCATGTCGACTGGGCTTGCGTGCTGCTCGCTCCCAAGCGTCCTGGAATGCACAAGCCTGACACGACTTTTGTGCCACACCTGTAGCAGCTCCTGTATCTTCTGCTCCCGCCATTCCTTCTCCATTCTCTGGCGCTCCTTCTCTGCACCTGAAAACGACATTTTTTGACATGTAGGGTTTAAAACGCTTGGAGATTTCGAAGGGATTAAACGGGCGCAGACGCCGAGGCCCCAACGCTGTGCCTGGCGAAAAGCAGCAGAAACAAGAGCTCCTGCTCGAGCACCGCCTGGAACACGTTCTGAAAAGACGATTGTGGCGGTGAGTACCCATAGCAGCTCACATGACTAGTGACTTTTGATTGTTTCATTCGAACTGGTTGCATGCACGGGAAACAAGGCGGCATGGTTCTGTGGTGTGCCTCATCTTCTGTTCCCCAAGTTCGCCGAGGAGTGAGGAGGTTTAAGGGAGCGCAGGGGGGCAGCTGAGCTGTGATGTGCACTGCAAATGCAGGAACTCGTTGTAGGATAAGTACCGGCACTTCTGCATCGCCCCTTCGACATGCACTGCCTTGTCAAACCAACGGCAAAAACGGATTGCTGGGTCGTCCAACACATGTCATTTGGTATCAACGCACACACGGTCACTAACATCCCCCATGCACGCACAGCTAGCTGGAGCAAACAGACAACTCTGCCAGAACCAGCAATTTCTCGCGGCAGCTTGACCAACACCAGAAGTCGCCCAGGGATGCCAAGTGTTGGCAAGATTTGTCCACTTGCCAGAGACTTGTGCTCCATGTCGCTGCGCAATGATGAATCTCAAAAGTTCCCAAAAACACTACAGGGATGTTGAGGAACATGTGGCCAACCGTGACGAAGGCAAAATGAAACATCGCTCACAAACATACGGTGCAAGACAAACTTCAACTCGCCGCAAAATCATGTGCCAGAATTATAGGGGGGCAGACACCGAGACGAAAACAAACGACCGGCCGGGTCTGTGAACAACCGGCCTGCCCTCGCCGCAGCTCTGCGCCCGGCCGGCGTGCTTGGGACCTCAGGAGATCACGTCGTGTCCCCAGCCCATGGTACAAACAAAAACTGCCGGACGCTTTGACAATCACCCTGCATCTTCCCAATCTTTGCAGTCTTTGAAGATGAGTGCAGTGCCGAGGCAGGGCCAATTTGGTCTTCGAGACTGTCCCCTCGGAGCACGGGCCTGCGCGAACTTGATTGGCTGAGTGCATGGGTCGGTGTGAGCCTACTCTTGCGGGTGCCTGGAAGCCTCTCGATCACGACGGGAATGGCCTGGGCACATCTCACTTTTCCGCGCGGCCCATCCTTGACCCCTTTGCATCTGTGTGGCCGGCCTTCGAGAGAGCGGGCCTCCGACGAACGCACTCTGCAGGCATCAAAGAATTGAATCCGAGTTGGTTCGTTCCGACGGTTGCGAAAGGCTCGGAGACTACCATCTGGCCTTCGCCGGAAACTGGTCTGAACGGAGATCGTCACGTCGCCACTCGTTTGCAATCACACGTACCTCCAGCGTCTCCCGCTCTCACGGCTTGCAGCTCCGCCAGGCGACTGCGGCTCAACGTAGAACTGTCCGCATTTGGGGATTTAGCTACACACATTGCCGTCAAATTTGAGATGGCTGCAATGTTCATTATACAGCAAGCAAAGCATGCCACATGCAGGGCGTCTGGCACAGCTCTAAGATGTTCTAAGCATCCGACATCCGCTGGCTCCATGTCAATGGATCGGCAATATCGCCTGTGGAGAGTCGGCTCGCCAACCCCTAAATCATGCAAAAAGCTGTTCTTCGTTGCGGTCAATTTCCCTTAAATCGTGCAAAGAGGCTGTTCGTGTAGGCCCAATCCATTGTGGGCAACTTTTGCAATCGGATTTGTTGAATACCGAGGCCCCCCAGAACGATCCTAAACAACAACCCTGAAGGTTAGCCTGTAGTGCTTGTACAAGTCCCGGAGCAACGCGGTGACCTGAGCGATGTGAGCTGGTATGTTGTTGCCATCGCAGCACGCGTCGTAAGTGCACCACTTGATTCACTGCAGCCACCTGCGTGAACGCAAGTCTCGAGGGAAGCATTAACCCTCACAGCCGGCCACGAAGTGCCCGACTCACCGGTGTTTCTAAGGCACGTGTCAGCACACGTCCCAATGCTCCCTCAGGCTCCAGCGTAGTCTGAGTAGTCAGTGCAAGCCACAGTCAGCTGCAAAGGGATGTCGGCCTACACTTGACACTGACACTGACATGGCGGAGCGTCAAGGCTTAGATGTGTGCTTTGCCACCCGGTTCGTCGCACTGGAAGCAGAACTGGACATCCCTATTCCCAAGCTTGCGGCTATCTACGCCACAGCGGCCTTACCGCCAACCCAACACCGACTCTACCGAACAAACCCGTCTCGGAGAACCTTTTGAGCTCTATCATAAGTCCCGAGTCCCGCTGATAAACCATCAAGGCATAACCAGAGTACTTTGTTGGCCGGGTGGGCCTAAAGCTTCCACATCAATGCAACCACGCAGTTTCGATTCTCAAACTTGCACCCTCACACTTGCACAAGGCAGGCACGCTTTTTGGAGACCCCTTTTTGTGCTGCACTGCAGGTCCTGCAGGTCTCCTGAATTAACCCTAAACCCGAAAGGCCAAAGCGTAAAGCACTTAGGCGCATGCTCTCCCCCCTCCACCCCTTCGCAGGGCCTCCAAGCCAGATCTTTCGAGGAAACCACTTCCTCTGCCACGCAAGCGCACCTCCACTCTTGCCAGCGAATGCTGGTGGAAGTTTAGCGGTTTAGCGTTCAGGGTTCAAGGCTGCAGTAGATAGACGTCCTGCAGCGGGCATGAATTGCGACTACAATCTGCTCTGAGGTGCTGCCTTGGCATTGCACTCCTCTGCCAGGCGGATCATGTTTTCTCCACCCTGGCTGATCTGCCAAGAATCGGAAGCCCTCCAGCTTTACGCTGACGCACCTTCCCCAAAATCCTCTTGACCAGGCAGAAGTCGTCGTCGTTTTCTAAGCCTGGTCCATGACATGTCTTCTTGCAGCTAGTTCCCACAGCTGGAACTCAAGCCCTTGCCTATAGGGAAGTGGCAAATGAATTTCATTTGGTCTCCTCGGCCCGGCACAGTTCACAGAAGAAACCCGTCCCCGAGTCAGCTCTGCTAAACAAAGATCAAGCCTTGCCTTCAATGTCTCCTTTGGGCAGGATCAGGGGATGTGGCTCCTGGCATGCTAAAACCTCCAAGTGCTTGAGAAACTGCAGAAACCAGCCGAGCTCGGATCCGCGCGCGCGCACGAGCCGCTGTCGAAAACACGCGGTCGAGATCCATTACTTGGTTCACAACAGCGAGTACCTGCGGCTGCCTCCGTGCACAACTTTTGACGCGCTTTGCTGAAAAGGCTACTTAAGGTCTTGGAGAACAGCGATTGAATCCTCATTTGGGTCTGCCGGCCGTGTTGGTTGCAAGCCTCACTGCACGGTGATGGCAGGTTGCTTCTGGTTGGCAACGAGTCGGCGGCTGAGTTCACAGTCCTGGTTTAGGGCTGGATCATCGGATTATCTAGGCCTGGTTGTCAGGGCCCTGCGCTTTTCAGGTCTTGCCATTGCCTGCTGCTGTCGCTGCCGCTGGACCATAGCCTCCGAAGGTGGCAACCAATCGCCTCCCCACCTTGATGTGGTCTCACCCTGTTCCCGAGCACTGTGGCCGCGCAGAAACTGCCTTGATTGAAGAGCATGGCTGTGGTCAGGGCATTCAAGGTCGGTTAACGGCAGCAACGTATGACGGCGTTATGACTTTTGATGCCGAGAAGATACTGAGAAGCTTTGCTGCAGGATGAAGTGACGCAGAGATGTACATCATCCTCTTGTTCTCCGGGAGCCCCTTTTATTTTGCGTTGCGTAGTTACCTTTTCACACCGACATGCCAAAACTGCTCACTGATCTGCTGACAAACTGTGCATGCTCCTTTCATGTTGATCACTTCCACAAGACAGCTGCCTTCGCAGGTCGTGGTTCTCAGTAATTGATCTTTCCGCGTTGAGTGCTTGTCTGTAGGCCCGCGTCGCCTGAGTGTAGCATTGTTTGGGAATCGGTCGCCCATCCCGGGCATGTTTGCCACGACTGTGTCATCTTGTGGCCACCCTCGAAGATGCCTCTCGAGTCGAGTCATGATACCATCTGGAAATTTCCCTACATTATGGTCCCTTTTTGGGTCCTTGTTCTAAGGCGGCCCCTCTTATTTAGGGCACCCAAAAAGGGACCTAATTTGAAGAACTCACCATATGATGCCCATGTGCTGCGCGCCATGCCTGAACACTCTGGCCTTCCCCCCGCACCCGCCTTGCCTGAAGTCCTGAGAAGTAGCACTTTCGAGCATGGCGCTTCTCGTGGCGCTGCTTCCTGTCCGCTGCACACACACGTCAAAAGTAGTGCAACACTGCACGCAGACTTGACCTGTTGCAATTTCCCAGCCTGAGTGGTTCTTCTCTCAGGCCCCATGCCTGAATATTTTCTCAACGCTTGACATGGGGCAGCGCGGGTTCATTGAATGTCCAGGCAACTGGCATCCACCAGGTAGTTTTCCGCGGGATCATCAGAAGGTCCAGGACTGGGTCCACAGAACGTGGTCTCCTCATCGGAATCCTTGGATGACAGGGCGCTACAACACAGAAAGCTCGCATCATCTCGGACCCTCTTTGGCCGTCCTCCAGCAACTGGCTGGCTGGAATTGTGCGTCGTGGAAAGTGCATCGCCTCAGAGCTCAACACCTGCACTTCTTGCCCCTACATGGAGGTTCATGGTACTTATTAACCAATTATGACTGTACTTACAACTGCACTCGTAACCATATTAGGGCAGACTGTCCGGCTTCTCAGTCGAGGCACCGGATCGAGGTAGAGATGCTCATCGGACCTTGTGTTCATGGGGGCTGGACTCTCAAAACTGCCAATGCTCAAGAAGAACAACGAGAGCGCAGCTCTAAAAGATCGCTCCCATCTGCGGCATCTGCATCTGGCAGACCTTCGCCCGCACACCGAGCGACTTTTTGGCTCATGGCTAACACAGACTTCTCTTGCTGGTCCCTTTGCAAGCCTCTCCTAGCAAGCTCCTTGTAGGTCAATGCCTCGATGGCCGACGCCTTACGCCAGTGCAGAGGATGCCAACTCAAACCCAATAAGCAGCGATGTGTAAACCCCATGTAAGCCCTGCGTTATTCCCAGGCTCGCTGCTACCTCCTCCGGTGTCGCCAGCAGCGCCAAGCTCCGGGGGCAGGCGACTGAAGCCTGTCAACGTACTCTACATGGCGAGGGTCCCTTCTTGAGGGATTGTACTGGGACTCTACTACATTTGGAGGTGCCTCGGGTTCCACCATGGCTGCTCAGAGGAGCAGAATATTCTTTTGTCACTGGGCTCCACGCCCGCAAGCCGAAAGACGCAGGACACGCAAGGCAACATGTCAGCGCATTGCGGCTCGGCTAGACCGTCCCATGCCCAAAGGCACTGCCCACATTTGCGACTACATGCAAGATCAGCCCACCCCCAGCCAGAACTCATTTAACAATTGCTGATCATCTCGACTTGAAGAACGCAGGGAGTGAGCGGGACACGACGACACTCTCATCTTTAGCCAATGCTGGAGAAGCTAAGGGCTTACATCGCCTGCACATCGCGTGTGCAGGCGGCAGATTTATGGATGCAATTCTGGTAGCAGTTGCCAAAGAGACCGCAACTGCAAAGCGCACCACCATCTGCTCGCGTTTGAATGCAACATGATGGTCGGAACGCGGCAGCCTAGCAACAAAGCAACCCCTGTCTGCTGGACCGTCGAGTCTGCAAACTTTAATGTGCCGTGACTCGTCCTGAAGCAGGCTGCCCCGTCCCAGGCGGAAAAAAGGAGAGTGATGGTCTGTGCTGTTGAAGCATGCCGTGACAAGTGCTCTCCTTCTGCGATGCATGCAAACGACAGCTATGGCTTGCATAGCGGAATGCGTGCGTGAAGCAGCAATGCTCCGTAACAGTCACTAGGTTTGTTGGACGGTAGCAGTCAAGCCATCCGTTGCTTGTACCACGCACGCTCGTGCATGCTTGCACAACCTTTGCACATTGAGGCAATAAGGAGTTGAATTCATGCATGACTGGGCATCAGCCAGTCAGCCATTCCGGACTACGCAGAGCGCAATGTGCGTCACCACAACCTCCATGGTGTGTGGCCTTCCATGCCGTTGGTGGCCTTGCATGTTAAGGTCATGTCGTCGTGGCGCTGTGTCATATCAAGCTTTCCTGGCCGCGCGCAACTACTTGCAACTAGCAGGGCGAGTCATGGGCAGCAGTATGACATGTGGAGCACGCGGCCTCCCAAAACCCTAAACCCTAAACCCTAAACCCCAAACCCCAAACCCCAAACCCCAAACCCCAAACCCTAAACCCTCCCTACTTCGCAACGTGAGGGCGAGGCCTACCCTGTCTGCTCCTTGGGAGGCTGTCTTTCGGATTTTCAATCATTCGGGTGGTCCAAGCTTGCAACTCAAGCCGCAGATCTTCTAAGTCTGCCTTTTGCAACAGGCACCCTAAACCCTAAACCCTAAACCCGAAACCCGAAACCCTAAACCCTAAACCCTAAACCTTGCCGGTCCTTTGAGTTGAGCTCGGCCCCATCCAGTTGCAAGTTGGGTGACCTTGTAGCTGAAAGTGCCGACACCTCTGTCGAAACGCTGCCACTCCATTGGCCCTCCGCTTTCTGCACCCAAGGTTCAACCTATACTCCCCTTAGAACCTTAATAAAAATACTATTTTAGTCTCCTATTGGGTTCTATTTCAACGAAAACAAACACAATTCCCAAAAGAGATGTAGCAGCCAGGTCGATGAGGTCCTGCTTCGAGGAAACCTCTGACCCATGCGGCGCCTTTTCCGGAGCTGCCCATCCAACATCTGACAGCTCGGCCGGTGGTCCCTCTGCATCCGTGGCTCCTCCCGTGTTTGGTCTCTGCTGCCTTGTAGGCTTGAACAAACTCTCCGCGTCCCTCTCGTTCAACGAGGCCGACATGGGTTCTGACGGTTCTGGGGAGGCACATGCACTGCCTGCTGACAGACACGAACCCTTGCCGGGAGACGCTGGCAAATGCTCTGCGGTTGGGGCTGTGGACACTGGCGATGGCGGCTCCATGTCACTGGTCAGCTTCCTTCGAGGCGGGGTGGCTTCAGGAGTCCTCGGCGATGCTCGAGAAGTCGTCGCCGTATACGGCTGAAGCGTCTTTTGTAGGCTTGCAGTCGCGTCCTCTTCTTCGTCCGTGTCCGCGATGTCCTCACAGTGGATCTCACCCTTGCCCAGGCCTTTGCCTTTGACCTTGCCATCGCCCTTGATGCATTTGTCCCGTGCCGGCACCCTGACCTCGCTCTCCTTTCCCTTGTCTGTGCCCTTGCCTGTATCCATGACAGCACTCTTGCTCTGAACTTGCGCCTTGCCCTTCTCCTTACCGCTGTCAACCTTGCGCCAGGCCTTGCCCGTGTCCGCACCTTTGCCCTTGCCTGTGCTTTTGCCTTCGTTCTGGCCCTTATCTTTCTGCTTGTCCACGTAGTTGGCCTTGCTCTTTCTCGGCATGCTACCTGCGACGCTGCGAAGCGCAAACTAGGAGTAACCCGAAAAGCTTGTTCCTGACGACAGCCCAGAGTTAGCCACGCCTGCCTTGAACCCCCGAGTGACTTGGGCCTTCGTCCGTCGAACTTTTCTTAGAGCGCGCCGCCTCGCGATGTCTGGATGCCGCCTCTGCCTCCGTGACAGAAGTGTTGTACTCAGCGGTGCTTGGACATCTGGTGTGTTGTAGGGGCCAGCAGGGGCCATGACTTCATTGCACCAACTACTGCTGCAATATTCTGACACCTAGTCTACAGGTGCCAAGGGCATGTTAGGTTTACAGACTGGGCGGGGGGGAGTGCTTTGGGTGGTCCCGGAACCCTTCGGCCCATGAGGGCAAAGGGCTGAACATCGGCCTCCATCTGCTGAAGGATCATGGCGTGGTTCAGCCTCCTCAGCTCTTGCTGGGTACCTCAGATTGCAACTGACTAAGGTCACTCTGCGGGTACTTGTTGCCGATTCCTTGTAGTTCGACTCAGAGAGTTCTAGAGTCAAAACCGGCAAGCAAACTTTTATGAGACACTGCGCTGATTAACCGCCACCTTACTAACATCCTGACGCAGTCACGCTTCAAGGCTTGGGAATCCACCGCTAGACTGCGGATGGAGCAGGTCAGCTCGGTGTGCTATCCACATCACCCTCACAATGAACTCGAGGCCCAATCCAGCTACACGCATTTCATCAACGGCCTACTCTCATGCAAGGAGCGTAGGGTGTTTTAGACCAACCGCACTGCAGGGCAACAACTTTGGAGTCCAAGAGAAGAAATTCTTTCACGCGTTGCCCAAACCCACGATCTGACCACCACACCCTGCCCTCACAGCAATCAAAGTTAGCATGACAAGATTAGTGGGAATCAGGGCTCCGGTGAGCAGAAATTTCAGCTTGGAGCTTTCAGGTCGGGTAGTATGATTGTTCTCAACAAGGCCCCCGAGTTTTCTTGCGAAGCATGCATGGTTCGTAGTACAACCATGAAGTCTGGGCCATCTCGAATACTGAGTTAGGAGGTTTCACTGCAATTCAGCTTGCCTGGTAGCGAAGCTTCACGCAGCACCGAGGCCGACAAAACATGTCCTTGGGCCGGGCAACTGTCCGGCAGGCCAAGCAGTAGGCCCTCAAGCCTGTCAGCATGCGAGATTGCCGCTATGGAATGCATATGGTTTCTCGTGTTTCGTGTTGTCACTACTATCACTGGCTATGGTACTACGAAACCATGAAATTAAATCATTCGCATATGTTTAACTGATTATTAGATCGCTGCATTTTCCTGCATATCCTTCTGTCGTATCAGCACCTAAGTATATGTCTTGTGTTATTGCATTTGTAATGTTCGCTCTCTCTTTCTCTCTCTCTCTCTCTCTCTCTCTCTTTCTCTGCCGTGCCTTCCCCAAGGGGTTCAGGATATGTTATTCTATTGTTATAATATCATGTTACCATATTATCATACCCTTACACTAATAATCAGATTCATATGCGAATATTCCATAACATTAGTACATCAGTATGTTATGATACTGCCACGTGGTTTTATGATTTTGTGTTGAATTGTGTATCTATCTTGTTTCATCTTATTGTCTCACTCTCTGATTTATGTTACGACATATTTACGCTAGCAAATTGCATATTATCATGCTATCATATGATCATATTATCATATTATCATATTGTCGTATAATCAGATGATCATAGTATCACATAACCCTATTTCATATTATCATATGGATAGTTTATGATATCAGTGAATTGTTAGATTGTTAGTTAGCTATTATGTTCTGATATTGTTCATAGTGTTATATTCGTGTATTGGTACAATGATATATATATATATATATATGCATAGACTATATAACTATACTTATATAGCAATACTAAGAAGCTACATAGCTAAGCCTAATGCTGCTCTGACGCATTCGCCAGAAGTGCGATGCGTGTGTGCTTTGATTTCCACAACTGACCAGAGGCGGTTGTTTCAGGTTGTTCTTGCATTATTAACGTTTACACATTCTCAAGCCTGTCAGTGGACCAAATGACCGCCAGCATCATGCAGATTTGCTTTTGGCGCCTCAGCGTCCGTCGCTCATCGGCACCTGTGCCAGCAAAGAAGTAGTGCAAGCACCAGGCAAGCAAACTTCTGCAACATGTTCTCAACCCTAAACCCTAAACCCTAGACCCTGGAAAAGCTTCTGTAGCAGCGCTCACCGTGCGAGGTCGAAGCATGGACAGACATGGACAGACATAGCACTGGGCTCCGCACCTACCTCAGCGGCAGCATGCTGCGAAGCAGCTCTTGCGCTACTTCGTGCCAGCTTGACAGGCCTTACTCTGACAAGGCTGAGGATGGATGCAAAGGCGCACAGGGTGCCTTGCACAGGCGTACCTCTGGACGGACGCGTTTTCTACCTCAGGCTGCAGCCAGAAGTCTCCACGAAGACACTAGAAGCCCCCTTGTTCAGGGCCCAGGCGGGCTGCAGGCTAGGTCGGACTTCATCCATACGAAGACGCACCTGGATGTCATCTTCGCTTCGCATTCTTGTATCGGTGAGCGTAGTGTATATCTCAGCCACAGCCTCTTCGGGCCTCATGCCCTGAAATCGTTTGTGCCGCCTGCAGGCACCATGTTGCTCAAGTTGAACACGTCTCCGACATTCCCGGCCTGTATGCCTTGTACAAGTCCCGCAACAGGGCGGCTGCCTAAGTGACTGAAAAGATTGGCCAAAGAAAGGATTGTGCCACGTGACATGAGCACACATGCAAGCTTGCAAAGCATACCTGCTAAGTGCGTCACGTTGTCCACGGCATACACCTGCAGACTAAGGGCTGGTCACGAGGCTGGCTGAACAAACTATTCATCAACGCACCAGCGGCAGCAGCAGCAGCAGCAGCAGCAGCAGCAGCAGCAGCAGCAGCAGCAGCAGCAGCAGCAGCAGCAGCAGCAGCAAGAGAGAGAGAGAGAGAGGAAGAGAGAGTGAGAGAGAGAGAGAGAGCGAGCGCAGTCAGCAGCAACAGCAATGATCAGAACGACCCGGAGGATGCCAATAATGACCACGAGAAAAATTGCAGAACCGCTGCCAGGTCGCCCCTCAGAGCCGGGATGGCAACGCAGGTAACGTATGGCAGACAATGAAAGAGGATCATCGTAGGAGTCTAGGGAGCGCAAGAAACATTCAAGAGCAGAGTCTCTGTGAGCGACGATGGCGGTCAGGACACGTGGTAGTAGTGCTCACAGGGAAGTCGAGCCATAGCTGTCTCCGGCTCATGGGGTAAGGGCAAAGCCAAGCAGGCCAGATCGCCACAACAGAACCCTTAACATCATAGTTGAAAGTTGGAAGCAAGATCCCCGAAACCCCAGCTCCAACCAACAACGATTGAGGCGTGGGCGTAGTCTGCATAGCAGGTGCAGCTGATGTGCAGCTGCAGCGGTATGGGGGCCTGTGACTTCACAAGCTGTGTGTTCCAGAATTCTGTGGGAATAAAGTCTTCCACGCCTCTTCACGGCTGGAACCTTCCAAAAAGCCGCTCCCCCTGCCACGCAAACGAACCTGCACCGTCTTTTGTCTTTCGTTCGGGAACCCACACTTCAACCCTCTGGGCAGCCTTGGCAGGTCACCGACACAATCTGTGGCTTTAACCGTCGGCCTTGGCATTGCACACTGTCGAGATGCGCAGCATATTGTGCCCGCCCTGCCGTGTGGATCGCATAGCTGGTGGCAAGAGCTCTGCAGCGAGCACCATCCGGCAACCTTGCCAATGAGTCTTTTGACAAGGCAGAACTCGTCGTCATCCTCCAAACCTGAATCGCGGGTGCATGCAGGAGCCGGGATTGCATCAAGGCCTGAGGAGCTGTGTCCCATGAAGATCACAAGCACACGGAATGCACAACAATATTCTTGCAGCCTGCAGTCCTAAAGTCTAAAGAAAGCACAAGGCTCCAGGTTGCGTTAGAATCTGAAGCCCCCACCGACATGGAAGATGCAGACGTACTTCTCTGGCTCCCCTGAAGGTCAAGGAGGGCATTGCTTCCCAGTTGTTTGGGGTTTTGGGGGCTGCGTCCTACCTCTTTTTAAGGCTTTGGGAAGGTGTGCCCTAATTAAACCCTAAACCCTAAACAGGAAGAGTGCAGGCAAGCGCCTTCGATGTCATTGGGGGGCTGGATCAAAGGGTGCAGCCCACTCCGAGCCACCTCCACACTAGTCGCTCATACTTGCCGCCCCTCAGTTTGCATTGCGTACGTATTCTATATATATATATATGCATAGCTACATAGATGTAGATTTATAGATATATACATATATATATATATGTACGTAGGACCTTTAGGGTCTATTTGGCACGCCTCTTTTGCCGCCGGGGAAATCCCTAGATTTGATTTTCAAGGATTTCATGAAATTTAAAATGCCCAAAAAATCCTTGAAATCCTTAAAAAAATCAAATCCCGGGATTTAATATTTTAAGGATTTCAAGGATTTTTTGGGCATTTTAAATTTTATGAAATCCTTGAAAAATCAAATCCCGGGATTTAATTTTTCAAGGATTTCAAGGATTTCATAAAATTTAAAATCCGCGTGGTCTTCCCCGTACTCTGAGTGGGGAGGGGGGCGGTTGATTTTTTGGGCATTTTAAATTTCATGAAATCCTTGAAAAATTAAATCCCGGGATTTAATTTTTCAAGGATTTCAAGGATTTCATAAATTTTAAAATCCGCGTGGTCTTCCCGTACTCTGAGTGGGGAGGGGGGGGTTTGCTTTTGCAGGAGTTCCGGTATTTAAATTTTATGAAATCCTTGAAATCCTTGAAAAATCAAATCCCGGGATTTAATTTTTCAAGGATTTCATGAAATTTAAAATGCCCAAAAAATCCTTGAAATCCTTAAAAAATCAAATCCCGGGATTTGATATTTTAAGGATTTCAAGGATTTTTTGGGCATTTTAAATTTTATGAAATCCTTGAAAAATCAAATCCCGGGATTTAATTTTTCAAGGATTTCAAGGATTTCATAAATTTTAAAATCCGCGTGGTCTTCCCGTACTCTGAGTGGGGAGGGGGGGTTTGCTTTTGCAGGAGTTCCGGTATTTAAATTTTATGAAATCCTTGAAATCCTTGAAAAATTAAATCCCGGGATTTAATTTTTCAAGGATTTCATGAAATTTAAAATGCCCAAAAAATCCTTGAAATCCTTAAAAAATCAAATCCCGATTTAATATTTTAAGGATTTCAAGGGTTTTTTTGGCATTTTAAATTTTATGAAATCCTTGAAAAATCAAATCCCGGGATTTAATTTTTCAAGGATTTCAAGGATTTCATAAATTTTAAAATCCGCGTGGTCTTCCCGTACTCTGAGAGGGGAGGGGGGGGGGTTTGCTTTTGCAGGAGTTCCGGTATTTAAATTTTATGAAGTCCTTGAAACCCTTGAAAAATCAAATCCCGGGATTTAATTTTTCAAGGATTTCATAAATTTAAAATGCCCAAAAAATCCTTGAAATCCTTAAAAAATCAAATCCCGGGATTTAATATTTTAAGGATTTCAAGGATTTTTTGGGCATTTTAAATTTTATGAAATCCTTGAAAAATTAAATCCCGGGATTTGATTTTTCAAGGATTTCAAGGATTTCATAAATTTTAAAATCCGCGTGGTCTTCCCGTACTCTGAGTGGGGAGGGGGGGGGTTTGCTTTTGCAGGAGTTCCGGTATTTAAATTTTATGAAATCCTTGAAATCCTTGAAAAATTAAATCCCGGGATTTAATTTTTCAAGGATTTCATGAAATTTAAAATGCCCAAAAAATCCTTGAAATCCTTAAAAAATCAAATCCCGGGATTTAATATTTTAAGGATTTCAAGGGTTTTTTTGGCATTTTAAATTTTATGAAATCCTTGAAAAATCAAATCCCGGGATTTGATTTTTCAAGGATTTCAAGGATTTCATAAATTTTAAAATCCGCGTGGTCTTCCCGTACTCTGAGTGGGGAGGGGGGGGGTTTGCTTTTGCAGGAGTTCCGGTATTTAAATTTTATGAAATCCTTGAAATCCTTGAAAAATTAAATCCCGGGATTTAATTTTTCAAGGATTTCATGAAATTGAAAATGCCCAAAAAATCCTTGAAATCCTTAAAATATTAAATCCCGGGATTTGATTTTTTTAAGGATTTCAAGGATTTTTTGGGCATTTTAAATTTCATGAAATCCTTGAAAAATCAAATCCCGGGATTTGATTTTTCAAGGATTTCAAGGATTTCATAAATTTTAAAATCCGCGTGGTCTTCCCGTACTCTGAGAGGGGAGGGGGGGGGTTTGCTTTTGCAGGAGTTCCGGTATTTAAATTTTATGAAGTCCTTGAAATCCTTGAAAAATCAAATCCCGGGATTTAATTTTTCAAGGATTTCATAAAATTTAAAATGCCCCAAAAATCCTTGAAATCCTTAAAAAATCAAATCCCGGGATTTAATATTTTAAGGATTTCAAGGCTTTTTTGGGCATTTTAAATTTTATGAAATCCTTGAAAAATTAAATCCCGGGATTTGATTTTTCAAGGATTTCAAGGATTTCATAAATTTTAAAATCCGCGTGGTCTTCCCGTACTCTGAGTGGGGAGGGGGGCGTTTGCTTTTGCAGGAGCTCCGGTATTTAAAGTTTATGAAATCCTTGAAATCCTTGAAAAACTAAATCCCGGGATTTAATTTTTCAAGGATTTCATGAAATTTAAAATGCCCAAAAAATCATTGAAATCCTTAAAGAACTAAATCCCGGGGTTCGGTTTAGGGTTTAGGGTTTAGGGTTTAGGGTTTAGGGTTTAGGGTTTAGGGTTTAGGGTTTAGGGTTTAGGGTTTAGGGTTTAGGGTTTAGGGTTTAGGGTTTAGGGTTTAGGGTAGGGTAATATCCTTGAAACCCTTAACAAAAATCAAATACCGGATTTGATGGTGTAAGGAGTTCATAAAAAGTTAAGATGCCGAAAAAGAATTAAAACCCTTCAAAATCAAACCCCGGGATTTGTCTTTTCCAGGATTTCAGACATACCCGCTCATTGCCCATCCCACATCACCCCGCATCATCTCCCATCGTTTCTCTCATCCCCCATCATGCCCCATCATCCCCCAATCATCCCCCATCATCTCCCATCATCATTCCCCGTCATCTCTCATAATCCCTTTCACCCCCCCATCATCCACCATCATCCCCCATCAGGCCCCCATCATCGTCCCCGATCAGCCCCTATCATGCCCCATCATGTCTCTCATCCCGCGTCATCCCCCATCATTCCCCATCATCCCCCATCATCTCCCATCATCCCGCATCATCCCCCATCATCCCCCATCATCATTCCCCATCATCTCCCATAATCCCTTTCACCCCCCATCTTGAGGGGTTAGTGACTGCCCTAGAGGTTAGTCGTATGTCCCCCCGCTTCGTGTTGTTGTGATTTGGTAGGGGCCCAGAGGTTTGTATGAGTTGTTTTCTTCGTTCGTGTTGTAAGGGTTTTGTGAGGGCCCCGGAGGTTTGTCGCATGTCCGATTTCTTCGTGCTTGTAGGGTTTGGGGATTGTCTAGATAATTGTCAAAAATCATTCCTTCCGCGCTCGTACTATGAGGGGCTAGTGGCTGCCCTAGAGGTTTGTTGTATATTCCCCCGCTTCGTGTTCCTGAGATTTGGTAGGGGCCAGAGGCTTGTCATATGTCCCCTCCCTTCGTCCCTTCGTGTTGTGAGGGTTGCATTCGGCCTTGGAGGTTTGTCGTATGTCCCCTTTCTTGGCGTCTAGATGATTGTCATCATAAGTCATTTGCTTCCGTGGTCGTATTATGAGGGCTATTGACCGCCCTAGAGGTTTGTCGTATGCCCCCCTGCTTCGTGTTCCTGTGAGTTGGGAGGGGCCTAGAGGTTTATCTTTTGTCCCCTCCCTTCGTCCCTTCGTATTGTAAGGGTTTCGTGAGCGCTCTGGAGGTTTTTCATATGTCCCCTTTGTTCGTGCTTGTAGGGTTGAGGGAGTGTCTAGATGATTATCATATATCATTTGCTTCCGCAGTCGCTATGAGGGTATTGATTGCCCTAAAGATTTCTCGTGTGCCCCCCCGCTTCGTATTCCTGTGATTTGGTAGGGGTCTAGAGGTTTGTCGTAATTCCTCTCCCTTCGTTCCTTCGTGGGATGTTTGCGTGTGTCCCCTTTCTTCGTGCTTGTAGGGTTTGGGGAGCCTAGACGACTGATATATATATATATATATATATATTCGATTCCGCGCTCGTATTGTGAGGGGCTAGTGATCGCCCTAGAGGTTTGTCGTATGTCCCCCCGATTCCTGTTCCTGAGATTTGGTAGGGGCCTAGAGCTTTGTCGTATGTCCCCTCCTTTCGCCCCTTCGTGTTGTAGGGGTTTTGTTGGGCCTTGAAGGCTTGTCGTGTGTCCCCTTTCTTCGTGCTTGGAGAGTTTGAGGAGCGTCGAGATGACTACCATACATCATTTGCTTCCGTGCTCGTACTATGTGCGGTTAGTGACTGCCCTAGAGGTTTGTCGTATGTCCCCTTCCTTCGTCCCTTCGCGTTGTATGGGTGGTAAGGGTTTTGTGAGGGCCCTGGAGGCTAGTCGTATATCCACTTTCTTCGAGCTTGTAGGGTTTGGGGGGGAGCGTCTAGAGTCTAGATGATCGTCATATATGATTTGCTTCCGTGCTCAAACTATGAGGGGCTAGTGACTGTCATAGAGGTTTGTCATTTGTCCCCCCCGTTTCCTTGGTCCTGTGATTTGGTAGGGGCTTAGAGGTTTGTCATACGTTCCCTCGCTTCGTCCTTTCGTGTTGCAAGGGTTTTGTGAGAGCCCGGCAAATTTGCCGTATGTCCCTTTTCTTCTTGCTTGTAGGGTTTGGGGAGCGTCTAGACGACTGACATATGTAATTTGATTCCGGGCTCGTATTGTGCGGGGCTAGTGACTGCCCTAGAGGTTTGTCGTATGCCCTCCTCTTGTTCCTGTGATGTAGTAGGGGCCTACAGGTTTGTCGTGTGTCCCCTTTCTTGGCATCTAGATGATTGTCATAAGACATTTGCTTCTGTGGTCGTATTGTGAGGGCTATTGACTGCCCTAGAGGTTTGTCGTATGCCCCCCTGCTTCGTGTTCCTGTGAGTTGGAAGGGCCTAGAGGTTTATCTTTTGTCCCCTCCCTTCGTCCCTTCGTGTTGTAAGGGTTTCGTGAGCGCTCTGGAGGTTTTTCGTATGTCCCCTTTGTTCGTGCTTGCAGGGTTTGGGGAGTGTCTAGATGATTATCATATATCATTTGCTTCCGCAGTCGCTATGAGGGTATTGATTGCCCTAAAGATTTCTCGTGTGCCCCCCCGCTTCGTATTCCTATGATTTGGTAGGGGTCTAGAGGTTTGTCGTAATTCCTCTCCCTTCGTTCCTTCGTGGGATGTTTGCGTGTGTCCCCTTTCTTCGTGCTTGTAGGGTTTGGGGAGCCTAGACGACTGATATATATATATATATAATTCGATTCCGCGCTCGTATTGTGAGGGGCTAGTGATCGCCCTAGAGGTTTGTCGTATGTCCCCCCGATTCCTGTTCCTGAGCTTTGGTAGGGGCCTAGAGCTTTGTCGTATGTCCCCTCCTTTCGCCCCTTCGTGTTGTAGGGGTTTGTTGGGCCTTGAAGGTTTGTCGTGTGTCCCCTTTCTTCGAGCTTGGAGAATTGAGGAGTGTCGAGATGATTACCATACATCATTTGCTTCCGTGCTCGTACTATGTGGGGTTAGTGACTGCCCTAGAGGTTTGTCGTATGTCCCCTTCCTTCGTCCCTTCGCGTTGTATGGGTGGTAAGGGTTTTGTGAGGGCCCTGGAGGCTAGTCGTATATCCACTTTCTTCGAGCTTGTAGGGTTTGGGGGAGCGTCTAGAGTCTAGATGATCGTCATATATGATTTGCTTCCGTGCTCAAACTATGAGGGGCTAGTGGCTGTCCTAGAGGTTTGTCATTTGTCCCCCCCGTTTCCTTGGTCCTGTGATTTGGTAGGGGCTTAGAGGTTTGTCATACGTTCCCTCGCTTCGTCCTTTCGTGTTGCAAGGGTTTTGTGAGAGCCCTGCAAATTTGCCGTGTGTCCCCTTTCTTCTCACTTGTAGGGTTTGGGGAGCGTCTAGACGACTGACATATAATTTGATTCCGTGCTCGTATTGTGAGGGGCTAGTGATTGCCCTAGAGGTTTGTCGTATGTCCCCCCGATTCCTGTTCCTGAGATTTGGTAGGGGCTTAGAGCTTTGTCGTATGTCCCCTCCTTTCGCCCCTTCGTGTTGTAGGGGTTTTGTTGGGCCTTGAAGGTTTGTCGTGTGTCCCCTTTCTTCGTGCTTGGAGAGTTTGAGGAGCGTCGAGATGATTACCATACATCATTTGCTTCCGTGCTCGTACTATGTGGGGTTACTGACTGCCCTAGAGGTTTGTCGTATGTCCCCTTCCTTCGTCCCTTCGCGTTGTATGGGTGGTAAGGGTTTTGTGAGGGCCCTGGAGGCTAGTCGTATATCCACTTTCTTCGAGCTTGTAGGGTTTGGGGGAGCGTCTAGAGTCTAGATGATCGTCATATATGATTTGCTTCCGTGCTCAAACTATGAGGGGCTAGTGGCTGTCCTAGAGGTTTGTCATTTGTCCCCCCCGTTTCCTTGGTCCTGTGATTTGGTAGGGGCTTAGAGGTTTGTCATACGTTCCCTCGCTTCGTCCTTTCGTGTTGCAAGGGTTTTTGTGAGAGCCCTGCAAATTTGCCGTGTGTCCCCTTTCTTCTCACTTGTAGGGTTTGGGGAGCGTCTAGACGACTGACATATAACTGGCTAGTGACTGCCCTAGGGGTTTGTCGTATGCCCCCCCCCCCCCGCTTCCTTGTTCCTGTGATGTAGTAGGGGCCTACAGGTTTGTCGTATGTCCCCTGCCTTCGTCCTTTCGTGTTGTAAGGCTGATAAAGTTTTTCTGAGGGCCCTTGGAGATTTGTCGTATGTCCCCACGCTTCGTGTTCCTGAGATTTGGTAGGGGCCAGAGACTTGTCGAATGTCCCCTCCTTTCGTCCCTTCGTGTTGAAATTGCTTTGTTGGGGGAAGGTTTGTCGTATGTCACCTTTCTTTCTTCTTAGAGGGTTTGGGGATCTTCTAGAAAACTGTCATATATCATTTGCTTCCGTGCTCGTATTATGAGGGGCTGGTGTTTGTCATAGAGGTTTGTCGTATGTCCCGCCGCTTTCTGTTCCTGCGATGTGGTAGGGGCCTAAAGAGCTTTGTCGTGTGCCCCCTCCCTTCGTCCCTTTGAGTTGCAAGGGTTTTGTTGGACCTGGAAGATTTATCGTATGTCTCCTTTCTTCGTGCTTGTAGGGCGTGGGGAGCGTCTAGATGATTATCATATATGATTTGCTTCCGTGCTCGTATTATGAGGGGCTAGTGACTGCCCTAGAGGTTTGTTTTATGTCTCCCTGCTTCGTGTTCATGTGATTTGCTAGGGTCCTGGAGATTTGTCGTATGTCATTTTACCATATACGAAATTAGATACAATCCCTTCGTCCCTTCGTGTTGTAAGGGTTTCGTGAGGGTCCTAGAGGTTTGTCGTATGTGCCCTTCCTTCGTCCCTTCTTGTTGTAAGGGTTTTGTGAGGGCCCTGCAACTTTGCCGTATGTCCCCTTTCTTCGTGCTTGTAGGATTTGGGCAGCGTCTAGATGATTGTCATTATCATTTGCTTCCGTGCTCGTACTATGAGGCGCTAGTAACTGCCCTAGACCTTCAGGGCCCTCACAAAACCCTTACAACACGAAGGGACGAAGGGAGACGACGTACGACAAACCTCTATCATCTAGATGCTCCCCAAACCCTACAAGCAAGAAGAAAGGGGACATACGACAAACCTCCAGGGCCCTCACAGAACCCTTACAATAGGAAGGAATGAAGGGAGGCGACACACTACAAACCTTTAGGCCCCTACCAAATCACAGGATCACGAAGCGGGGGCGTCATCTGACAAACCTCCAGGCCAATCACTAGCCCCTCATAATACGAGCACGGAAGCACATGATATGTGATTATCATCTACACACTCCCCAGACCCTACAAGCACGAACAAAGGGGACATACGACAACCCTCCAGGACCCTCCCAAAACCCTTACAACACGAAGGGACGAAGGGAGGGGACACACGACAAACCTTTAGCCCCCTACCAAATCACAGGAACACGAAGCGGGGGGACAGACGACAAACCTCTAGGGCAGGCACTAGCCCTCATAATACGAGCACGGAAACACATCATATATGATAATCATTTTGATGCTCCCCCAAAACCTATAAGAACGAGAAAGGGGAAGCACACAAACCTCCAAAGCCCTTACAAAACCCTTACAACACGAAGGGACGAAGGGAGGGGACATACGACAAACCTCTGGACCCTACCAAGTCACAGGCAACACGAAGCGAGGGTGCTTGCCTAAGTCTGGCTGTTGGCCGGCTGGATCTACATTTACTGCTACTACTACTACTACTACTACTACTACTACTACTACTACTACTACTACTACTACTACTACTACTACTCCTACTCCTACTACTACTACTACTACTACTACTACTACTACTACTACTACTACTACTACTACTACTACTACTACTACTCCTACTCCTACTACTCCTACTACTACTACTGCTACCACTACTACTTTCAAGAAGTTTTGTAAATAGTAAACAAAGGGGCGTGCCAAATAGACCCTAAAGGTCCATGCCACATATATATATAGATATACATATATATATATACATATACATACATGTGCACACACAACAACAGGGCTGCTCCCTACCTCCTCTCTACGCTCGCGTCGACTCCTCAGCACAGCTGGTCAGCTCCCAAGGCAGTCTATGCTCACGGCTTGGGAGGTTCCCCCTCTATACTAACAGTTCCTGACAGTCCTGAATAGGGATTATCGCACCCCCTATTGTAATCCCTAAACCCTAAACCCTAAACCCTATTGAGACTGTTAGTATAAGGGGAAACATCCCAACTCACGGCACTGGAAGCTTGGGTTGCTGGCAAAGTGGACTCTTGAAATGGTCCCAGTGCCCATGCCTACACCGCAGCTCAGGACTTGGCATGGGCAACAAAGATGTGTGTGAGCACACAGCAGCACGAACTGGGGAGGGAATGGCAACTCCAGATTAACCCCTCCACCCCCCCTGAGCCCCGCCTCCCACACCCCACAAAGACAAAACGAACAACAAGGTCATCATCACCAGAAGCAAGTCCTTAATAGGGGTTTAGGGTTTAGGGTTTAGGGTTTATGAGCAACAGTCCAGACCTCACAGGGAATTATGCTTCTGCCATGCAACTTTAGCTCGGGGATCCGGATCATTTGAGTTCCTGCGGCTCCGTTTAAGGTTTAGGGTTTAGGGTTTAGGGTTTCCTGGCCCTTCATTTGCCCCAGATTACCAGATTACAGTAAGGGGAATTTCTGTTGTCGCCTAGCGGAAGAAATGCGGAAGCTGCGCGGAAAGAAAAATGGAGGAGTTTGCATCTCAAGTAGAAACCTAAGGGCTTCTCTATTAAGGGATGCAGCTGGAAGGCCTGAAGAAAGTAGAGCTCGGATGGAAGCGCTTCGTCATCCGACCTCACAAAAAACCCCGTGATGCCCGCGTGATGCTCAGGAAGCACGGAAACACGGGGATTGTTGAAAGCTGAGATGGCTGAGGGCCCCTGGCTCGGAGTATGGCCCACAAAACACGGCCTCGTCGTCGGTCAGCTCCTCAGAATGTGCGAGATTTGGACACTGGTTTAGGGTTTAGGGTGTAGGGTCATTCAAGTGTCCTCTAGCACCTGAAGCACTGACAGTCTGCGCGGCAGGCCAAGTTCCTGAGAGCTTGGTTTCAAAGCAGCATGCATGCGGATGGCCGTGCAAGGGCAGTCCCATGCTTTGCTGCAAGGGACGGCGCAAGCATGGGAGCTTGCAATGCCTCAGCCCGGGCCAAGACCGATGTGTGAGCAGAAATGGGTCCCAAAAATCGGGGTACCCCATTATACCCCAAATACAACTCTGAAACCCCTTAAAGGGACCCCCAAAACAGGGTACCCCGATTTTTGGAAAGCCCCGAAATGTTCCCTTGACACTTGCAGACTGGCAGACCCCAGCCTTCACCAGGCGCCCGTGCGGGCACAGTCGGTGTTGGAGCTGGGAGGTGCCTTGGTGTTGCAGTGTGATACCCTAAACCCTAAACCCTAAACCCTCAACCCCAAACCCTAAACCCTAAACCCTACCTCATGAGGCTGTGCCGCGGTCTTACGTCGTCTCCAGTCCAAGGGATGAGCTCTCGAGACTCCGATTCGCCATCTTGCAAGCCTGGAAGTATATTGGTCTGCCCATGCTGCTCATGTGTGCAAAGTTGGGAAACTCGGTCGGCCTCTAAACCCGTTTCACAAATATCTATATCTTATGTCCCTCATACATCCAACTTTTACACCCAAACAAGGAAAATTTTAATGTGCAATATACCCAAAGCCTAGGAAAGCATTCAGCGCGCCCTGCCTTTCCCAGCTTCAAGGATTCCGGCCTTAGCAGCTTGATATGGATGTCACTCCCTCCTCAGTTTAAGGGGTGACCAACGTAAACACCAAAATGCAACCGAGGGAATTCAACGCAAGCCCAACGATGACAAAGGCGATAATACCTACTTTGGATAGCTGCCGTCCCTACTTCTGAGGGCGGCGCGAGGACAAAACAGCACCAGGGGACCACGTCAAACGCGCATACATGCTCATAAGCACCCCTTGGCGCTTAAGGGTTGAGAAAGGAGGGACCCCTAGAAGGGACCCCTACAACCCCTACATTTTTCTATATATGTATATATATATATATGTATACATATATATCTATATGTATATATATATATATATGTATATATATATATATGTATATGTATATATATATATATGTATATATGTATATATATATATATTCCTTATAGTCCCTGTATACCTAAGTAGCCGCCAAAGAGCCCCGAAATAGACCCTAGGGTCCCTTCAAGGGTCCCTCCTGTAGTCCCTTGATCAGTACTGCCGGAGGTTCATGGCAATTGTGGGGCTCCGACCGCCGCGCCAAGAGCGAAAGCAACTGAAGCCTACACGAGAAGAACATGGGAGGCACAAGAGACTCTGACAGCTGTGGTGCTGCTGTCATGACAGATCCTGAACTGCAGCATCCCACCTATCTGAATCCCAGTGAGAAAGAATACAGGAAACACAGGAACGATTTCTGCTACTGAGCCCTGAACACACAGCGTCATCACCCGGCCTGAATGGGATCGGCCATCGAATCCATTGCAAATTAGGGATTCCACTTGCAAGGAATCAGAACAGCAGCGGGAACAAGGCTGGGAATGAGGCAGGCTAGATGATGCAAACACTGGGTTGGATTTTGATCTTGTAGCCCGCCGTCCGAATAACCTGCACGTGCTAACAAGATTCTCAAAGTTGTGTCTGCTCAATCAGGTCCCCCACCAACAGCAAGTTGGGGAGAACTTCATCGTTTCAAGCCATCCCCCTAAACCCTAAACCCTAAACCCTAAACCCTAAACCCCAATTTCTTTCTCCGCCTGCAGAGGACGCCTCTTGACATCACTGCCATGGCCAGCTTCCATTCTTCCGGTGCCGCCAAAGGTCTTCGACACCAGGATGCCCTAACACTGCCCAGGCATGGGGGTCATTGTCGAAAGGACAAGACCATGGCGTCTAAAGAAGTAGACCTGCTTCGCGACATTTCTACTTTTGGCGGTCAGGTCCGCAGTGGCATGCTTGTCCTGTAGCGCAAGCAGCTGCACATTTGCTGGTGCCAGCCGCACTTAGAGAGGAGATCAGGCCCGCAGAATGCAAGAGCACCTAGTCCTTCTAGAGATCCCAGTGCACTCGCTGGAAGGCACTGGCAGCTGAGCAGCTGTCCTTCGTCTCGCCGGCGGTGCCCTCATTTCCCACGTTATCTGCTTGTCATGCTAGTGGCACCTGCTCGGTCAGGATCTCAGGTGTACTGCGCCTGCTGCAAATGAGATGTGGGTGTGGAAGCACCCAGCCTTCGCCTGGTACGTGTAGAGCATTCTGTCGCCGCAGTCCTGCGCAAGTCTAGACAGAACTGGCAGCAAGAGAGTCGGCCACCGATTGAAACACCCAACTGCCATTGCCAGGTGGACAATCGTTGTTGGAACTGTAGTAACATTTTGCAACCTCGCACTCGCCCCAGCTTCAGGTAACACACATCACGCAACGAGGTGCATGTCTGGGATTTCTTCCCTGCTGTAAACAAGAACCCAAATGGGTATTTCCCAAAATAGGGGTACCCCTCTTATATCCCAAATAGAATAGACACCCCGTAAAGGGACCCCCCAAAAGGGTACCCTATTTTCGGAAACCCCCAAATCGATAGCATACCACCGAGTCCATGCCAACATCGAGCAGTCACCACGAGGTGCCCATCTCAACAGGCAATCCCCATCCCGGATGGAATCGATTTCCCCTCCATCACAAGCTACTAACTCC